CAGGCTGCCATCTGGGGAGAGGGGGCAATTGGGGGGCTGCAGGAGAGCTTCCACCCCCAGAAGCCCGCAGAGCCAGCCCAGTCCTCCCCATCTGGGGCTCGTACCCCATTCCTCTCTCACCTCCTTCCACTTACCCTTCCCTAGCCCCTCTTCCTGATGTACAAAATAAAGGACACGTGTTCAAAAATAGAATCTCTGTTTATTGAACAAAACTCGGGGGGTATGTCTACATTACCCTCCTAGTTCGAACTAGGAGGGTAGTGTAGACATACCCCCAGAAATCACTGTGCAGATAACTAGGAGGGTAGTGTAGACATGCCCCCAGAAATCACTGTGCAGATGCAATGCGGGCAGAGAAGTAACTCTCTTCTTTGCTGTCATCACTGCCACAGAAAAGCTCGCAGTTCAGCTCTAACCCGCAATCAATTGGACTCGGCTCAAGTTCTCCTCCAGTGTCTCTCTAGTCATTGCACAAACAGTACAATCTCCTGCAACTCCCCAGAAAACCAGGGGGCAAACTTGGTTCGGCTAGCCCAAAAAGGGCCTGTAGGAGCAATTATATCCACTGCGTGTGCTATCTCAATGTTCCATATGTTGACCAAGGTATCAACAAGACCACTAGCCATAATAGCTGAACTATCCCTCAGAGATCTCAGGAAACCTTCTGGATCCATCAGCCTCCGAGGGAAGACCGTCTTAATTTGTCCTCCGCCTCTGCGGAGGAGAAGGTCAGCAAATAGTCTAAGCGTGGCCAAGTAGTGATCAGTTTATGACAATGGGAGTGTGACCACATTCCTTATCCCAAAATCTCTATCACCCTTAGTCCAAGACACCAGATCAAGCGTATGACCTGCCACATGTGTGGAGGCAGTTATTTCTTGGAATAGACCTAACGTCATCCTGGTGGCCATAAAGTCTTGAGCGAGACCAGGCAGCACAGCCTTGGGTGAACATTAAAGACCAGTCCTCAATGTCACGTCTGAGGCCACCTGATCCAGCTTGAGCAAAGCATCTGCTGTACACAAGCAGAACACCCAACTTATCCTGACCACCCAACACCAGATACAAACACGTAACTCTAGAGCTTTGTATGACAAGGGCCCAGGCCAGTGATGTTCAGCCGAGGCTGGTGCTGAACTGAGAACCTAGCTAGGCATAATTGGGAGTGGTCAATGTCTCTCTCCACTCCGAGCCAGGAGTCAGTGATACAGGTCAGGTTAACCCCTTCATGCAGGATTAAATCCTGGATGAAAGCAGTCTTGTGGATGCCAACCTGGCATTCAACAACAGCACTATCAGGCCTGACAGCCAGCTGTTAAGATTCCCAAGATCATTAAAGTGGGAAACAGGACCAGACTTGCTGCTGGAGCGCCAAGTAGCATGGTCCATGTAGCGCTCTGAGGGCTATCCGCACTCAGCCCTGCTCCTTCTGCCCAGGGCCCTGGCCCTTCTGGGAACATGGAGCTGGCCTACCCAGCACCTTGCCCAGAGGCCCGGCAAGAATGTCAGCCCCTCCCCTCCCCACAAGTAATACATAATAAAAGCAGAGAAGGAAGACGCTACTGAAGTTGAGGCTTTGGATTTAGAAGATTGGATCTTTTTCCTGGTTCTGATTCAGATTTCCTATGAGATCCTGGACAAGTCACTAGGGGCCAGGTTTATAAGGTATTTAAATGCCTTGTGGAATTTTGTAATGCACGTAGGAACCTAGCACCCATTGATATTAATGAATTGTATGCACCTGGTTGTTTTGAAAATCCCATTAGGAATATACATACTCTTCTATATCAGGCCCTTAATCATACCGTACCTCAGTTCCCTATTTGTAAACAGGCTGCAGGTGTGCTTCTGAGGACAAATTTGTTCCTATACAGAGGCTCAGACATGATGATGATGATGAGCACCAATAAAAACTTAAATTGCAGACAGAATGTTAAGAGAACGTGTTTCTCGTCTCTTCATTTGTAGCATTCTCTTAGATCTCTTCCTTAATATATCCTTGTTACTCATTTCCATTTCATTTTCACTGCATTGTTTTTATTGCTCCAACATCATTAGGTCTGTTCCTGTAATATGTAAGCAGAATAGTAAGTAGAATGCCGATCAAAGAGAGTAGGCATATTGGCCTGTGAGCAGCACTGCATTTCCAGGATACAAGGATTTGAAAAGTGGAAGGGAAAACAGTGGGCAGGGGGAGATACAAAAGGGATTTAGTGGCAGCCAATCCAGGTGTTTCTAACTGATGATCAGAAAAAGCTCTCCAAAGACGGAATATCTTGCAAAATGTTTTGTTGGAGTTGTTTAGTTACAAGAGTGTGAACAACACATGGACTTTGGTTATTTGTAGTCAGGCTTGCTGATGAGAGGGACAAAGGGGGCACTGAGGGTTAGCTGCCTTCAGCCTGCCCTTTCCATTGAGCTCCCACCCTTTCTTGAAGCATGGAGCTGACCCCACCATTGTCCAGGGGCCTGGCAATTCTGTTGGGCTCCCCACTTGTAGTGTGAGATAGAAGACGAAGAAAAATGCTGTTTGTTGTACGGGTTTAACCAGATATGGAAATTGGAATACTGTACCTGGAGCTTGCTGTTCTGCAATTAAAGCTAATCAATGTGAGTGTTCTTCCTTGAAAAGAAAAAACAGAGCTGGCCCAGCCTCAGTGTGAATGATGCTGAGTAAGCACATTACTGGCTTTCTGCTCTAAATTGTGCCTGCATAGTGCTTCAGATTTTTCTATAGCGCTGTTAAATGTAGTGCTCATTTCCTAAATATTTAAGAATTCTCTTAAGGAACTCTGACATAGAAACAGGATCATTTTTAACCCCCATTTATCAAAAGATCTGTTGGAAAAATACCTCAATTTACTGAAAGAACAACCGTGACAGAGATGTGTCCTACATTATTTTTAGTTTGTGCTATACAGATACTTTATCCCATGAGTGATCAATAATTTTGATGGGGGGGGGTCACTCCAAAATTTTGGTAAGTGTTCAAGGGTCACACTTTTCTACAGAGGGGCTATGGTATCTGGGAGGGAGGTTGAGTGTAGAAGGGAGCTTGGGGTAGGCGACTGGGATGCAGGCTGTGTCTGAGAGGGAGTTTGGGTGAAGGAGGAGGCTGTGACCCGGAGTAGGGGATAAGGTGCCAGGGTCTGGGAGGGGTATGGGTGCAGGAGAGGATAAGCCTGGGAGAAGGGTTTAGGAGGAAGTGGAAGGGGTGGGGGGAGATGTGACCTGGGATGGGGTGGAGGGGGAGGGTGAAGAGGGTTTGGGTTCTGACCTAAGGCAGGAGATTG